GTGAATGATGCACTAAGAGTGAAAGCTTGAGTTTTAACAGGCTCAGAAGAAAATGGGGATGCTATTCTGGGCTGTATCACTTTGGGATGTGAATTTGAGTGATAGCATCATAGATTTGTGAGTTACATGGGACTTTGGAGATCATCAAATCAAGTCCAATCCGTCCTCCTTTTACAAGGGAGGTAACTGAGAACAAGAAAGCTTAAGGAATTTGCCCAGGATCACACAGTAATTGTTCCAGACGGGATATGAACCCAGCTAGGTAGCTCAGTGGACAGAGAGCTGGGCCTGGAGTCAGGAAGACCTGAGTTCAAATCCAGCCTTAGACACTTACTAGCTGTGTGACCCTGGGCAAGTCATTTAACCTCTGTTTGCCTTAACCCACTGGAGAAGGAAATGGGAAACCACTCCAGTATCTTTGCCAAGAAAACTCCATGGTCAGCTTTAGTGTATTATACTCCATGGGTTTATGAAGAATCAGACGTGACTGAATAACAACTTTTTGACTGTGTTCAGCACTCCATCCTCTACTTCTTGCAGAAGATCAAATAAGATAATATATTAAGCTCTTTGCAAATCTTAAACTGCTACATAAATGCTAGCCATTATTACTGTTATTATTATTATCCACCTCAATGTTCCATTGTTGAAAAGATGGTAATAATACCTTATCTCAAAAATATTATACATGTTAATTAGTCAATATGAATAAAGCAGTCTGATGATACTGAGATACTGGAATAGTCACATCACAGGCATCTTCTATTCAGATCATCGTGCACTGTTTAGCCACAGAATTTGTAGAAGTCAGGATTTTGATGAAGACTTTAAAAAAATAACTACAAGCGTATCTTAAAAGATTTTAATTTTTTTCTTTTTGAAAAAGTATTTGCCTTTTGTTTTTATAACATATCCCCTAAAACACACCCCACCTCCCACTCTGATTAAACCTTTCCCTGTAACATAGAAGTGGATTTGAGCAAAGCTAACAAACCAACCACATCTGTAGTCCTCACCTTGCTAAGGAGGAAGAAAATCTGCTTCCCCATCATTTCTTCAAGGCCAATGTCATTACAATTCATCAGTTAGATTACTTTTTTTTTGTCCACTGTTATCATTTGCATTATTGTGGTCATTGTATACATTGTTCTTTTGACTTTGCTTTCTTCACTCTGAATCATTCTAGAAATCTTCCCATATTTCTTCTAATTTCTCATGATCATAATTTCTTATAGTACAAAAAATATTCTATTTCGACATTCCCCAATTGAAGGACATCCATTTGGTTTCCCTTTCTTTGTTATCACAAAGTGTACTGCTGTTGATACTTAGGTATAGATGGGAATTTTCTGTCAGTTACTTCCTTGGGGCATATGTCCAGTAATGGGATTTCTGAGTCAAATAAAATTGTTTTCCAGGGTGGTTGGAACAACTCAGAGGTTTACCAATAGTAATTGTTGTGCTATTAACGTAGTTAATATGTTTCTTCCAATACTGACTGCTTTAGGGGGTTTTTAAAGCATCTTTGCCATTTTTAATGTTTCTCATCATAAGTGTAGGTGTAAAAAAATCATAACAGACTAATCTTATATTATTTTTTTGACAAGACTACTAAAGTGGTGAGCCAGGGGTCAGTGGCATCATGGGTGAATGGCTAGAGAACTGTTGAGTCAGGAAAACCAGGACTGAAATCTTGGCTCTGACATAAACTGATTGTGTGACCCTCACCTAGTCACTTAATCTCGCAGTGGACAAGGCAACTTTCTAAGACTACATATGCTAAAATAGTTGGAAATCTTCTTTGGTAGATGTTCCTTACCAATGAAATCACAGGTCCTGACCAGGGTGAATCTGAGTTAGAATATATGTATCATGACTTTGCAGGGAGGAAATTGCAAGACATTATGGATTTTTCTTCCTCTTGTGCTCTTCCCTTGATCTCTGAGTCCCCAAGTCTCTGAGTTTCTTCCACAATGGGCATGTTTCCAGATCAATGTCCCATCTATACCTTAAATAATATTTAATTGGATCCTCATTGATGTAGGTATTTTATATTGCAGATTGAAACCCTTATCTTTGCCAATTTAATGGGAATGAAGTGAAATCTTCAAGTGGTTTTAATTTGCATCAATCAATTGGATTGCAAGCATTCTAAGGGCACAAATCATCTCCTATACTTTCCTTGCATTCACCTTAGCTCCTTCAGTGCTCTTTGATTGACCAAATGTTTCAGTGAATGGTTGATTGAATCACACATCATTTTTAAAAGATCAGTTTACACCCTACCTATGGGCACAGTCACATGATGAAGTGGAAAAAGTATAGAGATTAAAGAAGAGGAAAGGTTTCTATACATACAAAAATAGCAGCTTTTTTGTATGGGTGTGTGGTAAAGACCTGGAAACTAAAGGGGTACCTCTCAACTGGGCAATGGATGAATGAATTGTGTGTTTGAATTTGATGGAATTCTATTGTGCTTTAAGACATGAGGAAAGACATGTTTTCAGAGTCATGTAAAGATTTGAATGAATTGATGCAGAGTGAACAGAATCAGAATAATTTTAACATCAGTATTGTAAAAATGAACAGTTCTTTAAAACTTATAAAAACTCCGATCTACTCAATGATCAACCATAATTTCAGAGGACTGATGAAGAAAATGGTGCTGCCCTCTTGAAAAATAGATAATGGACTAATATTCAGAATGAGAAATGCCTTTTTAGACATGACCAATGTAGAGATTTATTTTGCCTATGTGATCAAGGAGTTCTAGAATTCTTTCTTTCTATCTTTTTTTTCTCCACTGAATGGGGGGGTGGGTGAGGTGGGAGGAAAGGAAAAAGTGAATGCTCAATATTGCTGATTCACTTCCCTGTACTGCTTTTTTCTCTTTCTTTTAAGATATTTGTTACAAGCAATGGCTTGCTGGATAGGGGAGGGAGGAAGGATAATTTTTTTAAAAATATGATGTAAAACCAAAATGTATTAAAAAAATTATTTTTTTCTTTTTTTATTAATTTATTTTGATTTATCAACGATTACTTTCATAAGCTTTTGAATTTAAAATTTTTCTCCCCCTCATTCCCCTCCTCCCTCCCCAAGACAGCCTGCAATCTGATATAGGCTATACATATACATTCCTATTAAACACATTTTCACATTAGTGATGTTGTAAGGAAGAATTAGAACCAATAGGAGGAACCACAAGAAAGAAGAAACAAAACAAAACAGAAGAAAAAAATAGCAAACAATATGCTTCGATCCGCATTCAAACCCCACAGTTCTTTCTTTGCATGTGGACAGCATTTTCCATCATGAGACCTTTGGAGATGTCTTACATCCTTGCATTGCTGAGAAGAGCTAAGTCTGTCAACGTTACTCATTGCACAACGTGGTTGTTACTGTGTTCAATGTTCTCCTGGTTCTGCTCATTTCACTCAGCATCAGTCCATACAAGTTTTTCCAGGAAAAATAATATTTTTAAAAAGAGTACAGGAATTATAGGATTATTGAATAAGATCAGGCAGTGACCTCGGAATTCTTCTAGTCCAACACTTTTGTTTTACAGATGAGGAAACTTAGGCCCACACAGATGAAATGACTTGCTCTCCATCACACAGGTAGTAGAAGACCTACAACTACAGCTGTAGCATGCACAGTGCAGCAGCCACACTCTAGTCAGACCATCTCAGCAGATAGGGCTAAACCAGGTTGAGAGTAACCAGTGGGCCACATTGGTGAGTTAGGGGGATGTTTACCCCAAGCATGTGATGACTTCCCCTGGCAGAATGGGCATATGATGACAACTTGTTCCAATGTCCATGAAGGCAGCTGAAGAGTGCCTAGAGCTTGGTCACACATCAAAGACATCAAGGCCACCCACTGCATCCTGGGCCTTCACCAGTTGTCCTGATTTGTGTCTTGCCATTGGACTTTTGACTCTGGAAGAGAGTAAAGCCAATGAATTTATGCAATTCTGCTTCATTTAAATCCAATTTACATATGAACCAAGACATTACCCCATGACATCACTGATCCTCTTCCAAAGGACAATGACTTATGTTTGAATTCTAATACTGCTGCTTACTAGCTATTTCCTTTGTAACTGGGCAAGTCAATGTTTTTATGGACCTCAGTTTCCTCTCTTGTGAAATGAGAGGATTGAATTAGATGATCTCTAAAGTTCCTTTTCTATTTTAAATCCAATGATCACATTGCAAAATAGGATTGAGTAGGTGCTCAGGTGTCTAAGAAGAGAGCTATATGAAGCCAATCCATTCAATCAAATTTGTTTTCACAGGTTTAACCTTACTGTCACTTGTGTATGGGAACATTTTCTAAATCCATTTTAAAAATAATATTTAGCATTCATAGACTCTCCTACTTCCAAATAAGATTAGAGGTGGTCAGGAGTTTTATTGATATTACAAGATCATCTTCCAAAGCAGTTAAGGTAGCATGGATAGGAGCATGAACCCTGATATGATCATATGCCCACCAAGCCCCCAATTTTTGCTCCCATCTTTCTCTTTTATTCCTTATAGAATAGATACAGGCACAGCTAGGAAACCCAGAATTCCATTATCCAATCCTTATTATTAATCCAAACATAGTTCTTTCTTTCTCTTTCCTCTTCTTTTTCTCTCCCTTCCTCCTCTTTTTCTCTACTTCCTCCTTTCTTTTTTCCTTTCCTCTTTTCTCTTTCTTGCCTCTCCTTTTCTCATCTCCTTTTCTCTTTCTTTCCCTTCTTTATCCTCTCTTCTGCTCCCTTCTGTCTCTTCTCTTTCTCTCCCCTCTTCTTCTTTTTCCTCCCTTTCCTATCTTTTTCTTTCCTTCTCCTTCCTTTTTCAAAGTACTTTCTCTCTGTTATTGGAAGCGAGATGGGGAGCAAGCAACCTTTTCACACTTTTCTAACACTGTGAAATAATAATAATAATAAAACTGTTATGTGGTGCTTGGATTTAGCCTAATATCCTTTTGGTTTGGTCTTGCCTTTAAAGGGGGAGTCTTCTTGCAGATTAAGAGTCCGCTTGAAGACATCTATAAAATCTACTGCTATCACCATGACGAAGCCCACACTATGCTCGAGTCCTATGAAAAGGATGAAGAACTGAAACAGCATATGAGACACTGTATCCAGTCCTTAAAGTAAGTCCTTTTCAAATGGTGATTTCCGTCCACCGTCAGTTGCCTGGCAGGGAACATTTTAAATGGATGTAGATGAAAGGTTTCCCATAAATCCTGTGTTTTATGAAGCTTGCTGGGAGCTCTGCTTTGCGTTCCTTTTATGAAAAGCTGACAAGCCAGGGGCCCTGATTACTTTTTTTTTTCTTTTTCGGTTCAAGGGGAGCTAAAAATAACACACAAAAAAGATCCTCTCTTGTTTTCAGGGTCCTGTGGAGATGGAAAAAATGCGATATCAAAAAACAAAATGTAGTAACTACTCCCTTCCTTACAGCCTTTGCTTCTTACTTTTTTTTTTTTTAGTATAAAGCACGTTATTTCTATGTGATAACTCTTGGGTGCTGGGACACCTCCCTTCTTTCTACATGCTTATCACACTTAATATCCCAGCATATGGCTGGTATGAGAAATATCTCCTACAGACCAGCCAGAATTTATCCCTAGTGTTCTTGTTGTTGTTCACTTGGTTCAGTCACATCTGACTCCTTGTGGCCCCATTTGGGGTTTTCTTGGCAAAGATACTAGAGTGGTTTGCTATTTTCTTCTCCAGCTTATTTTTATGGATGAGGAAACTGAAGCAAAAGGGGTGAAATGACTTCTCCAGGGTCACACACCCAGTATGGTTTCTGAGGCCAGATTTAAACTTAGGTGTTCCTGACTCCAAGCCTGGTGCTCTACCCACTGCCCCATCTAGCTGTCCCCTACGCTACTGATGAACTACTTTTAAAAGCTCTCTTCTAGACCTAGTCTGATCCTCCCGGTCAAGATATAGCAGACGTCAAATGCTCCTCCTCTTGATCATTAAGTGCTTACATTTTCCCCTACTTATCACTCAAACAATGATAGTCATTTTTTTTAGCATTAGTTATCATTTTATTGAGTTATTTCTTCCATCAAACAACATTGCAATCTATTAATCTCTTCAGTTCCCTATCAGAATGGATTAAAAAACACTTAAGAAACCCAGAATTCCACTTGATGCTCACAACTAATTTGTTACTGCAGTTATATTTATCTGTCCCTCTCTACTCTAGTCCATCTTCTGCTCAGCTGTCAAACTGATCACCCTAGAGCATAGGACTGACTATTTCATCCCCCTTTTCAACAAACTCCAATGCCTCCCTATCACCCCCTCTCCCCCCCCCGACATGTTATCCAGCTTCATCCTGAATGCCCTTGGGGTAGACAATTCATGGGACTACTGAATCAGAGGATGAAATATCCAGAGCTGGAAAAGGCTAATTCACTAACTTTGCAAGGTATCTGTTTTTAAACAGCTCTAATTGTTAAGGTGGAACTTAGAAGAAGACATTTATGCTCAAAAGATCCTGCTAGGTTCAAGTCCTGCCTCTGACATATAAATTTGTGACCATGAGCAAGTATTTCCATCTGTAAAATGGGGGTAATAATACTTTACCTATCTCATAGACTCTTGAGGAAAGAAGTTGGTAAATATTAAAGTACTGCATAAGATATTATTATTATTATGATTATTATTGTTGTTGTTGTGAAACCTGCCTCCTTATAATTTTCACCCATTGATCTTAGTTTTGTCCTTTGCAATTGAATGGACAAACCTCAGCCCTCTTTTATATAGATTCATAGAATGCTGTAAATTCTAATGATAAGTCTGTGGACGGGAATTCAGAGATCATGTAGCCCAATCCATACTGAAAGAAGGAACCCCTTCCATGTCTTACATCTTCTCCAAGTTAAACATTCCCAGTACCTTCAGCTGGTTCTCAGATGGTTTTTAATGTTCTCATTATTCTGGTCATCTTTTTCTAAACATGCTTCTGTTTTGTCAATATCTTTCCTAAAAACAGCGCCCCTCACTAAAGGTGTTCTAATCAGGGAATCATACAGTAGGATTATCAGCTCCCAGGCTCTAGAGGTTATGACAGCCCCTCCACTCAAATACATCAAGACATTATTATGCCTTTTCTTCCTTCCACTTCCTTCCTGAGTGTTCTCTTCTTCAGACTAAATAACCCCAGTACTTTCAACTCACAAGGCGTGGTTTTAAGTCCTATCACCACCACCACCCTTTTTTGTATTTTTTTAATTTTAAACTTAAATACAAAAAAAGAAAGAAAAGAAACAAACGTAAATACTAAAACTCAAATACAAAATAAGAAAAGAAAGAAAAAAAGCATTACCATGTGCACAGCAGAACATAAGTTTCCATTTTGAGAAAGCCTATATAATAAATACTACACATTGTGTTCAGAACGATCCATCTTTTCTTTATTTCCATGTAGGTTTTATTTTGTTCTCCCTGTGTACTTTTTACTTTGTTCTTTTTTTCCCCTTCCTCCTCCCTCCCCTAAGAAGGCTACAATTAAGCACAGATATATATAGATATCTATCTATCTATCTATCTATCTATATATATATATGTGTGTGTGTGTGTGTGTGTGTGAGTGTGCATGTATATACACACATTCACACATTCATATATATGTACATTCATACATATACACACAAACATATAGACATACATACATATACTTACATAACATATATATACATACATATCTATAATCATACACATAAATGTTCACATGCATTTATGTAAGACCATACTATACTTGTTGGTGCTTTGTTTCGCTGAAGGTGAAAACATTTTTCTAAATCCACCAACTCATCATTTCCTACACCACAACAATATTTCGACCTTATACTTTTATTTAAACAGTCTAAAACAATATTGATTAATACAGCTGATGTATAGTGTAGTTTCCCTATTTTCCTCTTTTGATCAAATCTATTTTAGCTTTAACTTTGTATCAGATCATGATTACTACTCCTAATTCTTCACCTAATAAATTCTACTCTTGGTCTTTATTTTATGTTTGTGTATATCTCTTATTTCCTATCCTTCCTGACTCCTCAACTTTACTTCTACCCACTACCTTGCTCTCATATTACTTAACCCCCCCCACAATGATCCCTCCCTCATCTTCTCCCTCTTACTCTTTGCCCTTATCCTCTAGTTTCTATCTGAATTTAAAAGACTTTTATAGCCTTCCAAATATATATACATATATGTGTGTGTGTGTGTGTTTGTGTGTGTGTTGTTCCCTCTTCATCCCATTCCCATCAATTTAGACATTCTTCTATATCTCCTATCATCCTATTCACTCCCGCCCTTATTTCCTTATAAATTTAGATTTTTCTCTTTCTAAGTGTATATGTTGTTCTCTTTTTAACCCAAATCTGATGTGAGTAGAGTTCCCTCTAACAATCCATGCCCCCTCCCCATCCCCTTAGCTTTTCTTTCTTTCTGAATTTAGAAGACTTTTATACCCTTCTATATATGTATGTATGTATCATTCCCTCTTTCACCCATTCCTGATGAGAGTAGAGTCCCAGAACTACCAGCCTCCTCCATCTAATTCTTCTGTGTCGGTTCTTCCTCTCACCTCATTTGTATGAGATAATTATTCTTTTTTACCACCCTTTCTTTAATCAGCTACTCTAAGAGAGGGAATTCACAAAGTGAACAGGGTGACTAGTACCTTGCAACCTCATCCCTGCTAATCATTATTGCGGCAGGACAATTAAGAGAGTAGACTACCTACCCCATTTTTAGACTAGAAGTAGGATAGTGAGTCTGCTCTATTTGTGTTTCTAGGGTTGACTTAGAAATGGGGGAAGGGAACAAACATTTATTAAGCCCTTGCTCTGTATCATAAACTGCACTAAATACTTTAAAAATATTTCATTTTACCCTTGCAACAATCCTGGGAGGTAGGTGCCATTATTACCCTCATTTTGCAGATGAGGAAACTGAGACAGATAGATATTAAGTGAGTTGCCAAGAGTAACACACCTAGCTGCCTTCATGGACTATTTTTTGGAGAGAAAAAGAAAATAGCTCAATTGGGTATATAAACCAGTATTTTTGACTCTGAAGAGACTATCCTGCTAGACCAGAACATTAGACAATACAGTCCAATATCTTGACCTTGGTGGCAGTTACATTTTTGTTGACCATAAGACCCCTTTGAGTCTGTATGTCACTGAAGATTACATTCAGACCTAACGACTTTTAAGGTCATTTTCAGGGAGCATGAAAAAAATGATTGCTCTAGAGATTGCCAAGAATCTCAGATATCTAGCTAGCATCATTTCTGATTACAAGCAATGATTTCTAATGTGGGAAGAGGGCCATTCTACATCTTCAAAATCAGCAAAAAAGTTTATTGGGAAGGAAAATGCTTTCAAAACAAAGCAATGTGCATGAAAGATATTTTTTTCCCAAAGCATTCTTCAGATGAAAATAGAGCTCTTGATAAGTGATACTAGCCTGTCTAAAGGCTGAGTGCAAGGTGCCTTTTGTCATTACAAACACTGACCTTGATTAAGCTGAACTCTTAAGTTTTGAGAAACTGGTTTTACAAACAGGTTTATGGGAAGCAACAAGCCTGGTGTAGCCCAAGGGGATGCCAGCTAATCAGCCACAGCTGTTACATCCTTCTGGCTTTTCCTAACAGCTAAATAAAGCAGAGGTCACTATTGCCAATTGCTAATCAGTGTTAGGTCCAGCCTTAGTGTTCAGTACTGCACCAAGATAGGTGAAACAATGTGAATTAAAGTGATGTGCAGGAAGGAGTTTAGTGCTGGAGTTTCAAGAAACCCAGGCCCGTTCCCATCAATCAAATATTTCTTGAATATGTCCTATCTGTAAGGCCCAATAACAATGGGAATTTGAAGATAGAGAAGACATAAGACATAAGCTGATAATCTGCTTGGGAAAACCAAGCACAAACTGGTGAAAAGTTCAAAAACACTGACTAAGGAATCGTGTTAAATTAATAAGTGAGTGGCATTTTTTTGTTGTTCATTTATTTTCAGTCATGCCCGACCTTTTGTGACCCTGTTTGTGGTTTTCTTAGCAAAGATACTGGAGGGGTTTGCCATTCCCTTCTCCAGCTCATTTTACAGATGAGGAAACTGAG